ATCAGACTCCGTGAAAAAATCTGTCACCCCTCATGACTTCGATTAACGTAGATTTTATGTGCGTTTTGCACTACGTCTGCGTAAACTTGAGAAAAATGTAGCGATACTGTCAAGTTTGCCGAGAACTTTGATTTCCGAACTTTAATTTCAAGTGTATTTTAACAAATCACAAAATGCGAGTGCATTTATTTTCTTGTTTTGTGTATTAGTGCCAAAGCATATTTCTACTAGACATATATGCCGATCATACAGGGACCTATGAAGCAACTATGAAAAAAAATTGAGAAGATATATTCAACTTGCGCATGTGCAAAATTTAAAATCTCGTTTTTAACCAATGACCTTCGACAACCAACATGGCCGCTGACAGGTCGTCAATAAGTTTGGATGCGGCAGATTCCAAGAAATTTTCACGCAAAGGAGCTGTGGATGGAGATTAGCTATGTATTAGATTATGTATGTATTGTAGATTTTCAAAGAACGCTCCGAAGGCATCGGATGTGGTTTGTATTATCTCTAAAAGTGTGCCAAGTTAATTCAATTAATTCATTTAACTTACTATTATAACTATTTATAATATAATTATCCAACTTTTAATATCGTTACATTCCAATCTCATGCCAATTATTATTATGGCTTTAAAAACTGACTTAATTTAAATCATAACAAGAGCAATTTTTTTAGCTTCTCAATTCGGACGGATACGATATACGTCACTCAGTGAATGTACCGAAAAAAATACTCAAAAGGTATAGGTATGTATCCAACACGGTGACAGACTTCTTCATCCACGCGTTTATGCGTTCCTCAATGTGGCGATATACTCGAAATAACACTTTTGCATCACACACACATACATATAAAGCCACCTCGTAGAGCCGCCGCAGTATGTCTTCACTAAATCAACCGAATTGATCGATTCCCACCCATCCGCGTACCCACAGAGAAAACGCTATTTGATAAAGCCGTATTACCATACCAGAGTTTATTAAGGATATTTACTGTTTACGTGCTTGTGTGTCTGTATATATATGCGTGTCTCGCGAACGGTATTTGACAGATAAGATATATCGACCAGGAAGGACTGGATCCAGAGCCGTACGCTTTGGGTTTCGTGTGTTGGTTTGTAACATTGCCGCTTCGGACTAGGCAAGGGCTGGACTATACTGGTATCTTAGAACAAGTTAGTCATTCGAAGCAGAAAAGTTCAACTAAATCTAGGTTTGAAACTTAACTTTTGAGCGGAGGTAATAATCGTTATTTTTTAATTATAATTTTAATAACTAAACATTTTTATAAAAATTGGCGCACGCCAATTACTCTTCATCGTTATGTCGGCCAAGTCACGGAAAATCGAGTTGAGTTCCCGTAAGGGTGAATTTTTTACCTTTTATCCGAGCCGCAATCCCCATTTTTCACTTTTACAACACCGCCAATTATTTGCCGTCCCGCAGAAATATAACGGGAAACATCTTGTCGCGTCTTTTCGAGCCCTCACCCCTTCCCAAACAAAAACGACAATGATAAAGCGGGGTGCAAGAGAGGGTGCGCTCTTGTCGCTTTGTCAAAGCAATGGGCAGAGGGGTGTGTATTTTTTTTTATTTTTCGAGCACCGGGAATCGTGTATTTTAATTTGTCGTAGTTTCGAGGGGCTGTAAAATATTTATTCTTTTCAAGCAAAAATGTCAAATTAACATAATAATTTAAAACGCTTTTCGTCATCTGACGGTCAAATTCATTTTTTTTTACTGAATACCCAATATATGGATAGTTAGGGGCAAAGTACTATATCTTCCTTATTGATCACTAGTTTGGAAAGTAAAATAAATAATACTATTAGTAACTCGGAGTGCTGCGGCTTCTGATGGCGAGCAGGGGACATAGGATTAGACTTTCGGACATATAAAAAAGTTTGCAAAGCGGTGGATTAAAATGAATGAATAACCTTATCACGGAGTCCAAATCCAACGATCCGCGAGCCGCTAGATCAACTATAAAATAGTCAGTCAAAAATAAACCATCGGAGCTACTCAAAATCCGACCTAACCAGTGCTTTGAAAAAATACCAAATACAAAATGGGTCCATAATAATACGAATGACACAATTATAACTGTGTAAGCTACATCGATAAATAATGCGGGTCAAAAATAAACGTTCCAAATACCCAAAGTAAAATATAAGAGAGTATCAACCCCTTAAAGCTAAGGGCCCCGACATATATCATGCATATTATGCAACAAGTGTGGTAGACGGTATTTGAAACTCGAGTTTATGTGGCACGAATGACTACTTAATAAGTTTACCAAATACCATACTATACTTTTCTACGACTATTAGTTTTTGGATACATTTTTGCAGAACCACATGAATATATTCACTGAGTGACGTCTAACATGACATTGAGAACCGACAAACGTCAAAATGTGGCCGTAGGTAATATCTACGAAAACAGCCCATTGGTCATAAACCCGCCTTGCATTATTTCGGTGTCCGAAGTGGCTCTCAGCCGTCGGTAACGAACTGACTTCGTAAAATGACAATTTTCACCTGCTCGATCTTTGCATAATTGACTATATCAGAGAAGGAAGTCGAAAAATACATATTTTCAAAATCTATAAAACCTTAAACCATAACAAAAGTGACAAAGCGATAATAACTGAACATAATAAATTAGTTAGATGTGGGATGATTCACTTAACAATTCAGAAAAAAAATAGTTTAACGTTTAGTTTACAAGACCTTAGAAAACTGCCCTACAGGAAATCTTGGGCGATTTATTAACATCTTAGTAATCGCCTTAGTAAGCAGCAGATTGAAAGATATACTAGATCATATGAAAACACATTAAAAACAATTCCTAGAAATCGTTATGTTCAGGGTAACATATACAGGTGTCAAATTAAAAAAATGTGTGGCCAGGATTTTATGCAATTAATTCTAGTCCGGGAGCCCTGGACCTTTTTTCATAATGATAAGCAACAAGCTAATTCTTTGGAAATCGTTTAATTTCATCAAGACGCCCAACCTTTTCCTCTACGAAAATTGTAGCTAACTATACACGCAGGTATAAAATGAATTCAATTTAGTTACCATTTACCATTACTAACCAAAATGATTAGCAACAGTTTAGTTTTGGTGAGTTTTGGTTAATTTGGCCTACAAATAAATAGGTTTGGTATAAGTTGTATCTATTATTTATTTATAAAAAGTGATGAGCAACATGCTAATTTTTTTACTGTAGCTTGCTAATAATTTTTATAAACAAATGATCACATCGTCCTACAAATAAACTGGTAGGATTTTTCAGTCCTACACTTTAAAGTTGTTGTACAAAACTATTTTTAAAAACCATACGATTCGTTTTAATAAGACGCCCAGCTATTATCTGCGAAAAGTTGCAAAACAGGTAGCTGAAAGAATGAACAGGTATCAAATCATGTCAAATTGATTATTATGTAAAAGTGATCAGCAACAGCTTATTTTTTAACTAGTTTGAGATAATCAGATAAATAATCTAAAACAACATTTGTCCTACAAATAAAATGGTAGGTTTTTTCAGTCTTACACTGGAAAATTTCGAAAATTGCCCCTAACTTAAACGTGGTTACATGTACATACGAGTATATTCGAACATACGTGTATTTCGTATGTATACATACACATACTTATATCAAATCGGCGGTATATATTCGCATCAACGCGCATGCGCGCAACATAGCAACGTAGTATCCAACACACGCATACAACATACATTGTGCATTAAAAAGTTTTGTTTACTTGGCTTGTTAACACGTGTTAATTAATGTTCTATACTCTAATATAATAATATACTCCGTAATAAACCTAATTTTCGTGAAAAAAGAGAGACGATAAAAAAATTTACATCTCGCGTGTAAAAAGTGTCTAAATGCATCATAACCACGAATATAATGATGCTGAATTGCCTGACCATTGGGATGACGTTGTAATAGGCTACCACTCTTGTTACAAGGAGTTCAGAGTAAAAGCTAGATATTTATGTTATGAAAGGCAAGTTTATGTTTTATTTTTTAAGTAAATGTAAAATGAAAATGTTTTTATTTTTGTTTTGTCGTTTAAGTGAAAAGTAAAAAAAATTGTAAAATGAGTGATTGTTTTATGAATAACGACATATTTTTTTCATATTTTTTAATTAAATGAATGAAAAAAAATATATTGATTTATTAAATTATAAGTAATAATGAAACAACTTAATTAAATTCATTTTTATAAAACAGCATCCTAGATAATGGCTGTAGGAATATTTTAAGAACAAAAAAAATCGCTCAACTAAATTTATAGGTTAGACCGTAATTTAGAGGTTAAGCAGGAATAATGTTCAAGAGTCGAACTTGCAACCTATTTTTTGTCGGACTAGCGAAATCCTATTTTACCTATTTTTATGTAGGACATTAATTGCATTAATTGATTTAGATAGAAAATGTCATAGTTTCATTTAATTTTGGTGTCTTACAGTTGCTGATAAATAACGTATTATCGTGAGGTGAACAACTTTAACCATGTGGTCATTTGTTTATAAAAAATATTAGCAAGCTACAGTAAAAAATTTAGCATGTTGCTCATCACTTTTTATAAATAAATAATAGATACAATTTTGATGGGGTGGCCACCCTATACCAAATCTATTTGTTTGTAGGCCAAATTTAATTTCCAATTATATATTTCAATATCTATAGATTTAGCTAATAACTAAACTGTTGCTGATCATTTTGGTATGGTAACTAAATTGACATGATTTTATACCTGCGTGTATAGTTAGCTACCTGATACAACAATTTTCGTAGAGGAAAAAGTTGGGCGTCTTGATAAAATGAAACGATTTCCAAAGAATTAGCTTGTTGCTTATCATTTTGAAAAAAAAGCAGCAATAACTCGAATTAGGAATAACAAAGAAATGCACTTTTATTTTATTTATTACTATTTCGCTGCAAACTTAAGTGTAAAAAAATTTTTTTTTTACCTTTAGAGTCGGAACTTAGGGGAAAACTAAGAAGGCATCACGCATTTCATAGTGCTTTATTTGTGATTTCGTACAGAAAGCGATCGTCATGCACCGCTAGTTGACAGCGCCGCAATGGCAGTACCGCCTCATGTCTTTCGTGGGTGAGCACCATGCTACCGGTTCGTACCGATCCAATCTATCGACACTGATAGTGGAAAACTCGAGCTCTCCAACCCGCTCGTCGTACCCCGCCCTCAAATTAACCTCAAACTTAGCCGGTGGCACCGTCAGCACTCTAACGAACATATTGGCGATCGTGCTGTCGGCCACCTCGAAGTACTTCGCCTCCAAGGTTCTTCCCAACGTGTACTGGCTGCAGTTGGTACCCTCGACGGAACGGTTGATGTCGTCGACGCAAAAAACAGCGGCGCGCGTTGCTACGATGTCGTCGGTAGGCATCGCGATGTACTTCGAGCAACTGCACCAGTATGGCGGTATTCCGGCGTCCGAGCAAGTTCTCGCGGGATTAATCTCCTCCAACAACGACTTGCAATCCGCACATCCGGGGCTAGGAAGCATCGAGTACGTCGGATCATGCAATGCCAGGATATGCTTTAATGTCATGTGGAGGTCGTACGGTGACGTCAGCGCGCGCGCGTTTGCTACCAAGTTCCGGTACTGCTTCGGGTGTCTTGTCCTAAAATGCCCAAGTCCACGAACGTCTTTCGTTAAGACTGACAGAGGGTTTTATTAATCACTTAACTAATTTATTACTTTATTACAAAATAATTTATTTTTCTAAAATTATTTTAATGTTATTACGAAATTAATTATTTTAATATAGAATAAATTATTTGATGAATTATAAATCACATATCATAATTAATTAGTTGAATAATTGCATTATGGTATAATAAAATTAATTAGTAACGGTTAAAATTAACTAATTTATTGTTGATTAAATCATCTCTCGTATAATTCTAAAAATAATTAAAATAACTTATATATCACTATCAACAAGTTAATTGAGTACTTAACATTAACTAATTAAAATGAGTAATTACTAATAAAAAAAATAATTATTAATAATTAAAAATAAAATAAATAAATAAATAATTTTTTCCATAAGCTAACTTTTCAATTAATTATTAAACTTTTTTAAAATTAATTAAATAGTTTTTACTAAAATTATAAAAACTAGAAAATTGATTTTTTTCAGTTATATATTAAAACATAAGTAATTTTATATACCATTTATTTTATTATTTATTATTGTTTATTGTTACATAAACTAACATCTAAACTTCTGTGACGACAGAAGTCTGGACAATTAGGCATATACAGGTGTTATTATACCTAGGTGTCCAATTAGCCATAACTATGTGAAGCATATATCTAATAGTGTAAGTGAAGTAGTTATAAGGCTTGCTGTGTAGTAATTGTTGTAAATTTAAATTGAATTAAATTGAAAATTTCAAAAAGACAAACTTATTTTCTTAAGTTGATTAATGAATTAAATTATTTGTACGAATAGTCAGTTACCAATTAATAATTGAAATTGAATTTTTATCAACTGGTTAACTACTAACTACTACTAAGCCCGAATACCTGAACGCGGACGGCAACCAGATATACAGGAACGGTAATCTGTTTTCCAACCAACCGGTGGTGGTTTCGACAATTTCGCCGAAACGAAAACCGTGGTCGGAAAAAAAAATAACTACGGTGTCTCGAAGGACACCGTTTCGCTTCAAACGCTCGAACAACCTCAGATACGGTTTGTCCAAATTCTTGGGGCAGTTCAGGTCGCTGTGGCTGAAAGAGTTGGACCAGAACAATCCGAAACCGCCGGCGCGGTTTTTGATCGCCGACGTGAAATCCTCGATCAGTTTTATCATTCCCAAACCTCCGGCAAAAAGTGCATTAATCTATAGGGTGTAGTAACATTAAAAACGCTTTAAGAGGGTAAATTTCGGAGGTCTTTTAGAGCATGAAACGTGTTTGGATGGCCGAAGTGACGTCAATACACACTTGCTGTATAATTTTTTTTGTTGGTTGCTAATTTAATAAAATTAAATTCAGATAAAGCAGTTCAGTTCGGTCTGTTATGTTATACTTTCCGATATTTTGAAGTTCTGCTAAATTTTGTAGAATTTAAGTGGACAAGTTTATAGTTCTTTTATCTTTGATAATTATAAAACCTTAACTCGCAACTTAAAACTTAATCTAGATTATGGCTATATGCTTTTAGGGTTACAATCTTTGAGAATATTACTTTTCTAAAAAAATAATTTAAATTTAGTCACCAGTCACCAAAATTAAATTGTAGGTCTGTACCAAAAATCTGGGAGACAATAAACCTAGATTTTAAAGAACATGTAAAGAAAAACATTTCCAAAAATCTTTTGCTTTAAGATAAGTATTTCAACAATAAATATTGTTAAATGCGTTGTTTAATAATTTTTCTGAAATAAAGTCATTATTATTATTATTTCGTTCGACGTTGCCACGCGAGACATTTTACTTTGTTGTGAGCTCCTACGGTTTAACTGTGCACGGTATTGTCAAGTGCATTGGAGTTTTTTCGAAAGTTTATGGCTGAATCGCATAAACCTAGACAATTTAAAGACTCAATTCTTCTTATATTTCAATGTTTTTCAACGTGCATACCTACGTGTTGAGGTCCGTAGCACTGAGGCAGACCGCAGAATACCTTCTCCGGAAGGGTGGACTGTGCCACGAAATATGCTCTGGGATAGTAATCGGTGGGGGGACGCAGGAATCCGGGACCGACAAAATTGAACGTCGCTGCAATTTGGCGCTGACTTAAAGAGAATAAGTCAATAGGGGTAGAGTATGTACAAACGAGCGGCCAATCTTCCGCGTAGGCTGTCGTGTAGCCTCGGCTTTTGAAATGCTTCCATATAAAATCGATGTCTTCGAAGGGGAAGGTGTTCTTCGCATTGCCGATGGACATCGACGCGTTGGGGTCCTTGCCCGTCATGGCTGCCATCATGTTGGGGTACGTGTTGTGCAAAATTTTGTTGTAACCTTTGGGCACGTATTTTTTTTTCGGTTTTATGCGAGCAGTTATACTCCATTCGATAGGAAAAGACAGCAATAAAACAGCGGAAATCTCGCCGAGAAATAATCGACATCACAATCATACACCAATCACATAATACTATTAAATTATATCTAGAATAAGAATATATAAAACTGCTCAAAATTCCACAATATTCTAGACTGACTCTAAATTTTTGTGGCAATTTCATTTTATCGACAGCGAAAATTATCATTTCCAAGACTAGTTTTAACAGTTTCCATAAAATTTTGTAAATAATTTAAAATTCCCTGAAATTTACAGGTATGGTCTGTTAATAGATATAAAAAAGTGACCAATTTTTGAATTGGATTATTCAAGGGTGGTCATTAACATACAATGCAACAAGATTATTACCTAAAGTTTCGGAAATTAAATACAGGTAAAATTGTGGTTCGTAATAGAAAATAATTTTATACCTATCCGTGTTTAATATTCTTTGGTTAGGTATACTACTTAGTTTAAGTTTATTAGTGATCATTCTTATTTTGTGTGTAATATATGCGAGTCTAGTGTATCTTGTATCTCAGGAGATGCTCCCGCCAAAATGTAGAAAACACTATTCTATTGAGACTAAGGAAGTTATAAACAATGTTTATTTGACTCTCATTGAACGTGGTACCAGCAAGCAAACATCTTTAGAAGAAACGGCCACATTGACGAAAATTCCAACATCACCTGTATGGAAAATTATGAATACTCCCATTTCAGCGAAGAAAAAATGAAGTGATGCTGACATTTTCTCGAGTGTAGATGAAAGTGATCAAGATATAATACGGCGTAAAATTTACCAGTTATACGAGGAACAAAGCGTGCCTACATTAGATATCTTAATTTGGAAGCTTGAAAAAAATGAAACCGGTGTTAAATGTGGCAGAACTAGTATTCAACACATAGGTTTTAGATTTAAAAAAATTGACAAAAGACAAGTTTTAATGGAATCTTTTAGAATTCGGGAATGGAGACTAGAATATCTAGAAAAAAATAGGATTTACAGAGAACAACAAAGGCCAATTATTTACTTGGATGAAATCTGGTTCAACACTTATGATACCTCGGAAAAGGGTTGGGTTGACTCAACTGATAAGTGTAAAACAAACGCGCCATCCAAAAGAGGTAACAGAATAGCTATTTTGTATGCTGCCTCTAAAGGCGGTTGGATTCCAAATGGACTTTCTCTGTCTGCGAAAAATATTAAAGATAATTCTCTGGATTACCATGAAGACACCACGGCAGATTTATTTGAAAGTTGGTTTAAAAACAAACTAGTTCCAAACATTCCCCCTAATAGCGTCATTGTAATGGACAATGCAAGTTATCACAGTAGACAGTTGACTAAAACCCCTTCCTCATGTGACACAAAAGCAACAATCCAAAACTACATGTATAATAATGACATTTATTTTCACGAGGATTATACCAAAAATCAATTAATTGACTACAAAGCTTGAACCTACAAAAGGAATGTGATATTTATGCAAAAAATCTAGGGCATACAGTTTTAAGGTTTCCTCCACCTTACCACTGTATTACCACTTTATATTGTATTTATATTGTTACTTCTTCTTTTTAAATTGGCTCAGCCATTGAAATAAATAAATAAATAATAATAATAAATAATAATAGTATATTTAATCCCATTGAAAATGTTTGGCACCAACTGAAATCTGCCATTTGTCGTAACAATGTTTTCCCCCGTATTAACTCCAATGTCCTCAAACTTATAGAAACCGAAGTTTTTAACATCCCCCCACAAAGTTGGGCAAATTCTGTTAAATATATAGAAAAAGCAGAACAATCGTATGTCCATATTGCAAATAATATAGAACAAATAAAAATTAGAACAGGCGATGATAGCCATAGTGATACTGATATATTATGTGAATAATTTTAAGTAATTTAAGTAGGTAACAAAAATAATTTGTAATTTTATTTTAGATTTAAACATTAATACATACATAAATAAATAAATATTGTTTAGTATCTTTACTAACAAAATCCCAAATAATTAAATTCTAAGCAAAGTACGGGCCTGTTCTTACAGCTCGCCCGAGTCTTTCCTTAAATCGTATCACTTAGTCACTTTCTTAGGTCTATGAACAGACTTTAATTTACAGGCATTTATATATAATATATGGATTTGTTACTCTGCTTTACTAACGAGTAGACTATAGACATGTCACCTTTTAAATCGATCCAACCGTTACGCTGACAAAATTCGACAGTTTTAGGCATGGTTCTTATGAAATTCAGACGCGAGAGGGCATCTATCCCGATCATCAACACGTTGGGCCTCTTTGCGTGCTTAACCGCATCCGGTGGCGGCTCGTGGAACACATAGTGCACGTTGTCGTAGCCGTTTTCGCAAGTCACCCTCAGGGATGAGGTATTCTTCTCTATCGGAATGCGATTAACGAACGGTACGCACTCCGAGTAACTAAAAATTTGTTCCTACCTTAAAAGAGTTTATGTAGATCTACAGAAAGCAGGAAAAAGTAAAAAACTCGAGTACGCCATTATTATGTGGTATTGATTTTTATAATGATATAGTAAGAAACACCGCATTATTCAAAATACCCAGGTTCTGTGGGTGTGTAATAAGCGTTTCTCGTCACCTGCGGTCTCATTTTAATCCGCACCAAACCAACTAATCTCTATTGGACCTAAAATAACTTCCAACTTCGGACAGATGACGTATAAATAAAAGAAGTGAGTACTAAGGACGCCAGTAGTGTTGAGCCTTATTAATTGTTGCCAAATCACGGGCATTTAAGACGGCTTCTTTAAAATTGTGCTCTTTTCACTGAGGTATGGTCTGTTCATAGATATAAGAAAGTAACCAATTGCTTTTGAATGGGATTATCCAAGGGTGGTCATTAATATATAATGCAACAAGATTATTACACTAAAATTTCGGAATTTAAATACAGGTTAAATTGTGGTCCATAATAGAAAATAATATTATACCTACCTATGTTTAATATTCTTTGGTTTGGTATACTACTTATTTTAAGTTTATTAGTAAACATTCTTATTTGGTGTGTAATACAGCCTGTGTTGAATTGTGTGCGAATTATGCAAAATATGTGCGAGTCTAGTGATCTCAGGAGATGCTCTCGCCCAAATGTAGAAAACACTATTCTATTGAGACTAAGGAAGTTATAAACAATGTTTATTTAACTCTCATTGAACGTGGTGCCAGCAAGCAAGCATATTTAGAAGAAACGACCACATTGACGACAATTCCAACATCAACTGTATGGAAAATTGTGAATACTCCCATTTCAGCGAGGAAAAAAAGAAGCGATGCTGACATTTTCTCGAGTGTAGATGAAAGTGATACGGCGTAAAATTTACCAGTTATACGAGAAACAAAGATTGCCTACATCAGATATCTTAATTAGGATGCTTGAAAAAGATGAAACCGGTGTTAAATGTGGGAGAACCATAAGGTTATGGAAGTGTATTCAACACATGGGTTTTAGATTTAAAGAAATTGACAAAAGGCAAGTTTTAATGGAATCTTTTAGAATTCGAAAATGGCCACTGGAATATCTAGAAAAAATTAGGATTTACAGAGAACAACAAAGGCCAATTATTTACTTGGATAAAATCTCGTTCGACGCTTATGATACCCCGGAAAAGGATTGGGTTGACTCAACTGATAAATTTAAAACAAACGGGCCAACCAAAAGAAGTAAAAGAATAACTATTTTGCATGCTGGCTCTAAAGATGGTTGGATTCCAAATGGACTTTCTCTGTCTGCGAAAAATATTAAAGATTCTTCTCTCGATTACCATGAATACACCACCGCTGATTTATTTGAAGTTGGTTTAAAAACAAACTAGTTCCAAACATTCCTTCTAATAGTGTAATTTTAATGGGCAATGCAAGTTATCACAGTAGACAGTTGACTATAAACCCCTTCCTCGTGTGACACAAAATCAACAATCTAAAACTACCAAAGAGCAATTAATTGAGGTTCTAGAAAGCTTGAACCTACAAAACGAATACGTCTGTGATAATTATGCAAAAAAATCTAGGGCATACAGTTTTAATCCCATTTAACATGTTTGACACCAACTGAAATCTGCCATTCGTCGTAACAATGTTTTCCCCGTGTTAACTCCAATGTCTTGAAACTTATAGAAACCGAAGTTTTTAATATCCCTCCACAAAGTTGGGCAAATTCTGTTAAACATATAGAAAAAGCAGAACAATCGTATATCCATATTGCAAATACTATAGAACAAATAATAATTAGAATAGGCGCTGATAGCGATAGTGATACTGATATATTAAGTGAATAATTTTAAGTAATTTAAGTAGGTAATAAAAATAATTTGTAAATTGGTTAAGGCTTTCGCGGCCCGTTGATAAGCTATTATCTTGATTCGGGTTTAAAGGCCGTCGTCGATTGGAATTACTTCCTAACGTTTCGCTAGCACGAGTGGCGAGCTTCTTCAGAGGTCCTTCCATCTCCGATGTTGGACGTAGACTACAACGTCCAACATCGGAGATGGATCTGTATTATATTTAGTTGTGTCAAATAAAGACAACGAAAATGTGAAGTGCTTCACATAAACCTAACTCTGTAAATGTAACTTTTTCTGTGGAAAAATACTACAGCAGAATTCGTTGCACATTAAAATGACACCACAGATCATAAAAAAGTAGTCCGACTTTGTGGGAGGACAATATTTGCAATGTCTGACGGAGTTAACGTACAAAATATTATCGTCGGGTATGGCGGCACTCAAGTTCCTGTAAATCCCCGCGTAGCAGCACAGTAGGGAGGAGTTCCTAATCGCGGTGGAGTTCACGTTGAGGTAAACGTGACCATGAATTTTGGTGACGTAAGTTTGAACTTCGCCATCGCACCTGATGGGTTCCGGTTCGCTCAAATATGGCAGGATATCGTTAGCGAATGGGTCCATGCGTCCGATAGTACAGCCGGCGGTCTTTATGAGGAACGTATCACCTATAGCAGTGACCTGCGTTAATGCGAATCGGTAATTGGTTGTTAATGGTTCCGTACCGTTGATGTGCTCTGAGGGATATGTATAAGTCCTGGCACGAAATGGCCACATCCATCCGATATAAATAACATTAATTGCTATCGCGAAGGCAATAAGTACTTTGTAATTGAGTTGTTTTGGCATTTAGACGGTTTTTTGAAATATATGATGAAGTTGTCAAAGATACGTCGACGTCCTAACAGCGGACCGTTCTATGTATAGCAAAGATCAATTTGTTACTTAAATTTGAAATATCAACAGCGCCTAAGAACGAAAGGAAAGCATGGACCAAAAAAACAGACAAAATTATTAAAAAGTAAAAAAAATAAAATCAGAACGAAAGTATCTTAGTTGTATTGGCCAGAAACTGTTTCTATCCCTCTATATATCAGTACCAGATTTAGTTTTCTTTTCATAATTTTAGGTTAGGCCTTGTAGCATTGACGCGCCCTTCAACAAACGTCACCGATGGCGCATATTTTGGACATGAAAACCGAAAATTGAAAAAAAAAACAAAACAAAACAATAACAAAGCGGTCGACATCGCGTGGATAGATGTCATAGTCGCGTGTACTCGCCCCCGTATATTGTCGAGCCAGTGCTCATAGATCATATTTTTAATTATGCAAATTTCCCTCGTTATTTATGTCCGTTCATTTGTTTTCCGGGTCGAGTCGCGCGTACTGGGTGTTCTTAAATAACCTGCCTCATTAGAGCGAGAGAGTGTCCCGTCGAGGACATCTTGCCTAATATTCGAACCTGTGCTTGTTTCGGACTTAGGATTTCGGTTAAGTATGCGTGAAGCCTGACGCAACATTTGGTAATTATTAATTCAGAGTCGCCCTACATGACGATGTTCTTAGTACTTTAGGCATTTGGTTCATTGATTATTAAATTTCAAAAATTAGGATAAATATGAATTATATTCGCGCATTTTTAACGAGAGCAAGATATGTGGTCAACCCACTTTACACCAAGAGCTTATAATTCTAAAGATTCGAATCGAAAATTTTCGGTATCGAATCGGTCTTACGCATCTGTCTAGTCACCCATAACCTCATTAATCTTCGTTGTACCAGGAGAAAACAATATGCTTGAAAAATTTCGTTAAATTTTTCAGCGAACTCACAAGAGTTCATAGAAAAATAGCTATCAAATAAATTCCTTAAGCCCCCGGGTAAGTTTACTGAAGCATTATGTTTTCACTTTTCTCCTGTGGAGAAAAATATAAGCAAATATGCTCAGAAAAGAGTTAATGTGGAGCCCCCCTTTACTCCCGCGAGGTATTTTAATATGATGACCGGAAAATATGGTTAGTTTGTATCATCTTTCAGTGAAAGTTTTTTCTCTGGTTTTTGTTTTTGTTTTCTTAGGTACCAAAGACCCGTTGTTGGATATAAGTGAGTGTTTAGATGTTACGTCCTGTGAAAAATTGCCTCCCAGTATCGGTATCTTAAAGAGATTACCTGAAGACTGCAAACCATTGGAGACCTCAACATGCAATTCTTAAATCGCTTCTCTACATAATGAAAATGGAAAGAGACGTGATGATAAACTGAGAGTCTCTCAAGTCACCATTGGGACTATTTTGCCTGCCTCAGCAAAAACTCTACTGCAACAGATTGTCAACTGACATTCACCATTCTGAGTTACTGACACGGCGATCAATTATTTTTTCATTGCCACTGCCCTCATACTATCAGTCCCGGCTTCATCTCCGTTTTATTTTTTTATTTGCAATTTGTGTAGGAGGTACTCCAGAGACAACGAAATCGAAATAGAAATGATTTCGTTATTCTTTAAATATAAATGAGGTTATGTGGTGAGTACAGAGATGGGTAACACCGCATCGATACCGAAACTTTTGGATTGGAATCTTCAAAATAGTAAGCCCTTGAGATTGAACTTCACTTGGAAGTTCAATTTATTAATTACTGTCGCAAATTATTCTCTACATCTGTCGTTATGCACATGAAATCAAGGTGCTAGTTAGTTCGTGTCATCATAAGAAGAGTACTGACTTGGATCTTACAATAATTTGAAGAGCTTTTTTTCGTGGCACCACAAGAATTGAAGACCTGACTGACATTTGTATTGAAGGATCCAAACACTGGCAACAATTCCAGAAGCTGACTGACTAAAAAGATTCAACACAGTTTAAAAAAATCTTAGTGCAGTTTATTAAAATAAAATTAGTGTAAAATATAATACGGTAAAATAAATTGCTTCGTTGAGAGTTTTTAACGAATTACCTATAAACGGTCCTAAAAAGTGCATCATAGACCCTGTTCGGGAAAACCGAACAAATAAATAAATTCAAATGTTAGACGCCAGGCACGCTGGCAACCCGTGTTACACGGTTGAGGTTATGAGAAAAGGCAAGAAGGGGGAGGCGTCTCCCGCTTGCTGGCAATTAATCGTTTTCCTTGATTTTTCCTTCGATGTTGTTGTGAAAGGATTTATTAATTTTTCTATTCGTAGAGTGAAATCTCGTTCCTGCTTTACGTTAAGCGTGTGTTGTACAAAAGGTGATTATAATTTTGGTTATAAACGCAAGGCATACCATGTTGGCGATAATTAGGTCACGTCATTAAAGTGCTTGCGAAAACCTTTTGGACTTTGAATTACCCGGATGTTACAACCTCAACATTTGTTGGTCGTGTTCGAGCCGGATCAGCGTGAAATAAAGTTCAGTTTGAGTCCAAATCCACAATTTTACAGTCCACTAGTTTCGATGAGCGGAGTCCATTAGTTTCAATGGTTATGCGAGAATGTAGCAAATGCCAGTTCAAAACGGAGTAAATGCCAGTTCAAAACGGAGTAAATTCCAGTTCAAGTTTAGTTCCAGTCCAAGGCCACGATTTGCTGTCCACAGTGTAAGAAAATTGGTCCTAGAACGGAGGAGTCGATTGGTTTCGAAGCATATGTGAGAAAGGAGTGAATAGGAGCCCGAGTTCAGTTCCAGTCCAAATTCAAATTTGAAAGTGCATAAGGTGTACGTCGAAGCAGTTCCAGCCGGGAAAAACAAGGTCAGATCCATCCTTTGTTTACAATCTGTTTCTTTTCCATGTAGTGTCGAAGGTGTTGCAGTATTTCAAACATTGTTGGTGACTCAAATGACTAGATTTCTCCTCTTTGCAGTTACAGTGTGGTAACTTAATACAATCTTTTCCTAAGAAATTCCTTTTCTCAAGATTTGTGAGTAGAGACACCTTGTTTTATTCCCCAATAATTGTTATTTCTATATTTGTATTTGAATTCAAGTTTGTACAACGAGATTTCCTTTACGTTAATAATCTATAAACTAAATTCTAGATGGAGACCCTAATAAAAAAGAGAGCTTCGGTAAAAGGTACCATTACACGAATTGATAATTGGTTGCAAAACAATGGAGATGTAGCTACATTTGAAGATTTAGAGATTAGATTAAAGGCCTTAGAAACTGCATTTCAAAAGTTCTGTCAAATTCAAGATGAGATCGATATATTATCTGATATAGATGACCTAGAAAGAGCCTCATATGAGGAAAAATATTTTAGTCTCAGTTCAATGTTACAAACAAAAATCAAATTATTCCAAACTGCTCATCAAAATGAAATCCCTTTTAGCAGTTCTGAAGTTCAGCCTACAGTTTCACAAACTTCACAAAAAATTCGACTTCCTGAACTAAATATTCCTCAGTTTTCAGGCGATATTACAGGGTGGAATAGTTTTTATCAGATTTTCGAAAAATGCATTATAAATAACTCGGAAATTTCTAACATCGAGAAATTAATTTATCTGAAATCTTACTTGCTTGGTGAAGCACTTAGCTTGATAGAAAGTCTTACTTTAGAAGGTTCAAATTTTGACACAGTAATTAATATTCTTAAAAAAAGGTATGATAAACAACTTCCAATTGTGTATGCGCATTTTCAGAGTTTACTAGATAGTCCCTCCTTAAGAAAGACTCATTCCATGAATTCTAGACAGTATCTGAGTTTTATAACCCAAAACATAAATTCAATTAAAAATTTGAAAGGGGATACATGGGACTTGGCCATTATTTATATTTGTTCCTTGGGTCTAGATTCCACTACTCGTAGAGCTTTTGACCAAGAAATTGATCCTCAAACATTTCCTACACTAGACAAGTTTTTGAAGTTTTTAGAGAAAAGGTGTGACTTAATGGAGAATGCAGAAATTCCCGATTTAAATAAAGGCAAAGGTCAGAGAAGGCCGCAGAGATTTCACAACGTTCATGTTTGCCAAAACATTTCAGACAATCGACCATCTTTCTCCACCCAGAAAGGCAGAGCTTCCTCCCCGAATAACAATAAAATTAGTCATCTTTCGGCACAATCAAATAGTAAACGCTGTTTATATTGCAAAATTTCTGGTCACACGATTTATAAATGTCAAACCTTTAGTCAGTTGAGTAATCAAGAGAAAACGGATTTTGTAAAAAACGAAAAATTATGTTTCAATTGCCTCGCATATGGTCATTCTGTTAAAAATTGTAAATCCACTGGTTGCATGGTACGTTCTTGTGGAAGATTTCACCACACATTAATGCATAGTGACGCTAATTATTCTCAAAATGAAAATTTACATTTTTCTAATCGTGACCATTTAGACTCAAACATAATAATGAAAATAGGAATTCCCAGTATAGATCGCGCTTTATTTCGAGAGCAAGTAATAGTTCTAATTCAAATGAGAACATTCAGACTTCAAGAGGGCAACCTTTAAATCAAAGAAATTGACTAATAGAGTCTCATACAATCGATCAGCCTTCTTACACCGAACCCCTTCAAAATTTCGAACAATTAGTATACTCCACGAATTTACAGGGTTATGAAGTTCTTTTAGCTACAGCTATAGTAAGGACTTTGAGTTACAATGGTAAACATTGCAATATAAGGGCAGTACTTGATTCATGTAGTACCACCAGCTTGTGCTTTAGTTAAAAAACTTATGTTAATTCCACAAAGAGAAACAATTAAAATTAGTGGAGTAGGAGAAAGCATTACGCGAGCTAATGAAGTGGTAATGTTCACAATTTACTCAGTTTTCAGAGACAATTTTCATGTACAAGTTAAATGTCTGATTTTAGAAAAAATAACTAGAAAACTTCCACAAGTTCTGCTAGACAGA